TGCAGCAGGACAGACACCATCGGAGTCCTCGGAAGGGCAAGGCGGCGACCCGCCGATGCTGGTTGAGCGTTCGCAGCCCGACACGCCACCAGGGTTGGGGCCTCGGCAGGACGGTTAGTGTCGGTGAGCTTTTAATAAGACACAGAGCTCACACAGTTCATTTTATCGATCAACACTTTCGATAGACCGAAAGTAAGATCGTTCGGTGCAGAAACCCCGGCCATGCCCATGTAACGCAATTGTGCTCGATTTTTTGGTAGAAGTGTCTCCAAGTCTTCTGGACCCATCGATGGCCGTCGCCTCGACGCCGCTCGTCGCGGCACCATCGTGCCCGGCCTGGGCGAAGCATCGTCGCGGGCGCCAGCCGCAGTTCGACGGCAAGCCGTGCGAGCCTGCTAAGGAGGAGGACATGTGGCTGTGCCTGGCCGACGGCCGCGCGCGCAGCACCGCCGACCTGAAGCGCCTGGCGACAGCCGCTCGGGTGCGAGCGAAACGAGCAAGAGATGCAGCCGCCGCGAACACGCGCGATCGGCAGGCGCGCGACCAGCGCCGCCGGCAGCGTGAGCAGCACGACCGGCGCGCAGCGCCGGCGGTCGCCAAGACCGTGCGCCCACAACGCGGCCAGTGCGGCTGCCCGGCGCACGCGGTGTGCGGCATGTGCGTCGACCAGGGCAAGCTCGCCGCGGCCGAGCAGGCGGCCATCGACCTGGAGACGCGCTTCCACGCCTCGACGAACGTCGTCATGGACCTGGAGCGGCCCGAGGACGAGACGGCGGCGCTGCTGCAGCGCTGCGTGCACGTCTCCGACGAGACGAAGCGGCGGCTGCTGGGCGAGTGGAGCGACGAGCGCATGGCGCACGCGCTGCCGCTGCACGCATGCGCCTCGTGCGGCGTGCGGGACCCGTCGCTGACGTACACGCGGGTTGACGTGTCGGCGCTGCCGCGCACTGTGTCTGTGCGCGTAGCCGGCGGCGAAGACGAGACGCGGCACGTGTTTGAGCTCTCGCCCGAGCAGTGCGCTAAGTATCGAGGTCTTCAAAACAAAAAGGTGCGCCTTGCGTTTCCCAACGGCGCGAGCAACGACCGTCCCAACGGCGACGGTACGCACGAATTCCGCGACACCGACATCTCGCGCGTCATCAGCTGCTGGGAGTCGGACGACGGCACGCTCTACCACCTGCACCCCGAACTCGTCGACCGCCGCGCAAATGAGCATGGCGTGATGGTGCCGTGCGCGATGCTGTGTCAATGGTGTGGTGACCAAGCCGACGCACGAAACAAGGAGCCCAAGGCACCCAAGCTCTCCTTGGCCGCTGGCATCGACTACGGGTCGCTGGCTCGCGTGCGCGAGCTCACGCCGCTCTCCGAGGTCGAGCGCATGCTGGTCTCGGATGTGCGGCTCTACCATGTGGTCGCCAAGGTGACGACGCACTACGGTGCCGAGCGCCCCGGCGCGCTCAAAGGCGACGTGATCTACTTCCCTCACGACGGCCCAAAGGAGGCGGCCAAGGCGCTCGCCAGCAGCGCGAGGGAGGCGCTTCGCGACCGCGTGGCGTGGCTCAAGGGCACCGACTTTCGCGTGGCCTTTGTCGGCCCCGACGGCAACCGTGACAACTTGATGAAGTGGCTGCGCGGCCGAAACGTGGTCGCCGTGCGACCTTGGGTGGTGTACAACCACCTCGCAGTGCGCGCGGCGCTCAACGAGGCGATGGGCAACCCAGAGGTCACGCCCGCGCCGCAATCGCTCCTCGCGGACATCCAGACCGAGCTCGAGGGTCTCGAGGAGGCGCTGCGTACGGAGAAGGCCCCGCCACGGCCGAGCTGGTCGTGCCGACAATGCTCAGCGACCGACCGAGCGAGTACCGACCGTCGAGCGTGTGGGCGGCGGAGGCGTCAGTGCCGCCCAAGCTAAATGTCAAGCGGCACGAAATCGACCTCGCCTTTGCCGTCACCGACTACAAGGTCCAGGGCAAGACGCTCGACTACATCATCCTGAGCATCGGCCCGCGTGACGGCTTGATGCCGCACCTCAGCCTGACCGATGTCTACACGCTCGCCTCACGCGTACGCCTCGGGAGCCGGCTCTACGTGGTGGGCTTCGACCCGAAGAAAGAGAGCGCCCACTTGCGCAAGCTCAAGCACAACCCCGTGCTCGCCATCTGGGAGGCGGGCTACGCCGACGGGGAGGGCGTCTGGGATGACGCGCGCGCGGCGTACTTTCGACTGATTTTTCAAGGTATGTGCTCTTAGTCTTACTTACGGAGATACCACGATGGCGGACTGCCAACTAGGCGTCACCAGTCATCTTGGGAGCGGAGCTGCTCTTATCATTAGTCCTAGAAGATGTAGGATTGCGAGCGTGGGCGCTCACAATCGCACAGAGATGCTACGATTGCAAGGAGTGCTGCTCACAATCCTTCGTTCGACTTCTAGGATTGAGAGCGAGGCTGCTCTCAATCCTAGCCTAGTACAAAAGAAGGTTCAGCCCCAGTGCTCCCGGCAATGTGTCGCCGTCTTCGGGGCAAGCTATCGCAGGCGTCCGACAGACGGCGCTGGGGCTAGGCGACCGAAGAGGGGCTTTGCGCCTTTGTTGTTGCGCCGCACGCCGCCTTTGAAAAATCCAAAAGCGCGCGCATTTACAACCTCGGCCATCTCCGGCCCCTCCTCCAGGACCTCCCTGAGAGGCATGGTCACCTACTCGCTGCAGCCGCCGGCAGGCGGCAAGGCGGGGCTGCTTGCGTTGGGTGTGGGGACCTTCTTCGCGACCGCGGCGTTCGTCAGCAACACGTGGAAGCTCTTCCAGCTCCACCGCAGCAACGCCGCGCAACGGAGGATCGGCCCGCTCGGCATGAAGCAGCGAACGCCGTCGAGGAAGCTCGTGCGACTGGCGTACCCGCTCATGTCGTCTGCGATCGCCGAGGGCAGCGATGAGAACGCATGGTCGTGCTGACAGGCCGCCGGCCGACATCCTTCTCTCCGTTCCACACCTCTGGCGTCTCGCGTTGCGCTTGACCCATTGTACACTTTCTGGCGGCCGACTGCATGACCCACTTGTACATGTTGACTGTGCATGCCTTTGCCGGGGGCGCCCCGTCCCCGCCGCGGCGTGAGATCCTTACTCCTCGTCTGCGTTTCGGCGTGTATACCCATCGATCGTCACCGCGCGCGCGCGCCCGTTTTTCTTAGTTTCTACACTTGTACTTCCATGCATGTCGCTGCGCGCGGTGTACTGTTGACGGCCGTTACGTGCGTAGGTTAGCCTGTTGCGCAGGGGAGGGTTGACCAGTAGCTGATTTATTGGCTGTATTGAAAAGAACGCGCCGCGGGCGCCGCACGGGGGGCGTTCAACGCGCGATCCGCCACACGCCAGCAGCGCGCCAGAGCTCGGTCCCGGCGGCCTCCCATCGTCTCGCGCCGTGTCTCGTCACACATCGTGACGGGCGACAGCCGACAGGGACAGCTGCGGCACGGCCTTTCGGGCGGCGCATCGGCCAACAGATGAACGTGCACGCCATGCGTCCAGCACGCCAGTCACGTCCGTCACGCCAGTCCGAGCGCCTTCATCTTAGCCGCCATCGCGGCCAGCTTCTTCGCCTTCCGCTCCGCCTCAGCCGCCTTTGCCGCCGCGCGCGCCTCCGCGTCTGGCTCCGCCTCCTCCCTCCCCGCCTCGCCTCCCGGGCCCGCGCCGCCTTCGCCCCCCCGCGCGCGGCTGGCACACGGTAGCTCAGTAACGACGCCGGCGATTCCTGGAAGGAGCGGTGTGGAGGAGGGCGTGTGAGGGAGGGCGTGTGAGGGAGGGCGTGTGAGGGAGGGCGTGTGAGGGAGGGCGTGTGAGGGAGGGCGTGTGAGGCCCCCCGAAACAGCTGTGAGGCGCACCGTATAGTAGCGATGAGCTCACTAGCTAGAGCTCACGCTAGAGGCCGTCCTCGCATTCGCCTTCCTGGGGCCCAGCGCTGCCTTCTGACTGTCGTTGCGGTCTCTCCCTTTCTCGACTGTCTGTGCTTGTGCGTCTTTGGTCCCGGGGTTGTGTTTTTGTGTGAGGCGCACCGCCCGCGACCACTCGCTTGCCGACGGACGCCGCACGTGGCGAGAGCAGCGCGAGAGCAAAGGGGGTGCCGCCGTCCTCCTCGCCCGTCAGAACGGACGTGACCACGCCCGCCACGCCCGCCTCCCCGCCCGCCTCTCCTCCGCCCGCCGCGCCCGCCTCTGCAGCCGCCTCTGCAGCCGCCTCTGCAGCTGCCTCTGCGCCCGCCTCTGCGCCCGCCTCTGCGCCCGCCTCCCCTGCGCCTCCGCCCGCCTCTGCGGTTGTCGTGAGCCTCACCTCCGCCCCCGCTGCAGGCACCTGAGGTGAGGGAAGCTCCTCTCGGAACCTTCTCGGAACCTTCCGCCTGAGGTGACGCGCAGGGACGTGCGCATGTAGCGCCTTGTCCACGCACCGGGGTACCGGTGTGGGGTGCAGGGGCGGGCGCGGCGGGCGAAGGAGAGGCGGGCGGGGAGGCGGGCGTGGCGGGCGTGGTCACGTCAGTTCTGACGGGCGAGGAGGACGGCGGCACCCCCTTTGCTCTCGCGTGGGATGCTCCCCCCCCCCTCCCCCCCCCTCGCCCCTTCACACAGGAATGGCTAGCCGTGCGTGTTTCAAGGGAGGCCCCGTGGCGCGACGCCTCGGCCGGCGCGCAGCTCAGCGCGACGCCGTACAACTCGAGCCTCTGCCGCTTGGCGCGCGACAGGCGGACGAGGACCTGAGGGATAGACACCGAGAGATGGGAACTCAAATGGAGCTCCGCCTCTCAATGATGTGGGGGGAGGAGGCAGTACGTCGACGGAAAGAGAGGACGGAGCCCCCGCCGTGGCGTACGGAGATGAGCGAGAGGTCTAAGTTCACAAGAGAGGAACACACACACCCCCCCGGGGGCAGGGATCTGCCCGGACCTCATTGCCGAGATAGCAGCCCTTGTCAACTGCGACCGCCTCCCACCGCCCAAGCCACAGGGGAGGCACCTTCAGCGCGGCCCCGGCGGCAGCAAACTCCGCGCCACGGCGAGGCAGGCCCCGCCGCACGCGCAGCGCCTGCGGGAAGGTTCCGAGAAGGTTCGCAGAAGACTGCAGACACCGGGACCGTCCCTACCGCACGAGCCGACGGGTTCCCTAGAAGCGGACTCTCTGCCCGTATCTCCCTCTACGCCCCCATACCTCGAGGCCTAGAAGCGGGATATCTCCCCATATCTCCCTCCACGCGCAGCGGGGAGGAGGGGGGGGGGGGGGGGGGAGGGGGAGGGTAGAGGGAGGGCGGGCAAAGGGGGAGGAGAGGGAGAGCGAAGGAACGAGTGCCGTGGGACGGACTGGAGGCTGTGGCGAGATCTGGGGAGATGGGAGATATGGGGAGATGTGGGGAGATATGCGCCTCCCACGGAGGAGTGGAGGCGTCGAGGTGGCGCGCCGCCGCCGCGAGCGACCTGAAGAACACGCATGGCTGAGCTTTGGTCCGGCTGTCTTGCCCAAGGGCGGTGAGGGGAAGGGCGGCACCGCAAAGTAGTGACGGGGAGGTGTGCTGTGCAAACGTGCATAAGCAGGGCACCCCGCCAGCCGCGGCTCGTCCTTGAGCAGGACGGAGAAGCTTCGCTCTCCCTCCTGCGCTGCGGCGGGCGCAGCTGCAGCCAGCGCGCCGCTGCCGAGCAGCCACGCGGCAGAGCCGTCAAGGCGGCGCACCTCGCCGTTTGCCGGCAGCGGGTGCGGCAACTCGCTGCCGAGCGCGTCTGCCAGGAGCGAGCCAGCCGCCTCCCCGACCACCTCGTAGCACGAGTACTCGCCGGACGCCTCGGCAACGCTCACGGCGTCCGCCGGGAAGAGGTAGCGGTCGAAAAAGGCGTGCAGCTCCGACCCGCGGCCCGGCTCGCCAAGCGCAAGCAGCTCGTCGCCGCCGCCATCCAAGACGGTGAGTAAGTCCTGCGTGTTGCCGGCGGCGTCCACCACTGCCGACTCCGCGACGCCCGCTCCGCGCAGCGCGTTGACGTCGGCGGTGCACAGCCCGTGCAGGAAGCGGTGCCGGTCGGGGCCGGTAAAGGAGAGCACGGACAGAGGGCGTTGGGCGAAGATCAGCACTCCGCTCGCGCTCGCGGCGAGGACGAGCGGAGATATCATATATGTTTTCGAGGCGCTCCTTCGGCCGCAACCCTTCCCCGCGACCTTCGCCGCGACGGCACGGCAGGGCAACGATCGTCGCCGGCACGCAAAAGACAACCGCCAGCAAAAGAATTTTTCCTGCGACAGCCCGTAGCCCGATCCCGATCATCCGGCCCGCTGGATGCGCTTCTCAGCTCACCGGCCCTGGATGTGAGGTTGCCGACTGCACTCCAAGTGCTCCAAGTGCGACGGGGCTGCTGGCGAGGCTGAATCACGGGTGCGACCTGCTGGCGGGGCACTACGCTCAACATGGGCGGAGTAGGGAGCTCGACTTCTACGGGGCAATGGAACCGCAGGAGATGGCGACCTACTATTATACAGGAGGCGGGAGGCCGCTGTTCGGTGACCCGTACAAGCAGATTGGCGAGCGGGTAGAGGCGGTCAAGGCGCAGAGGCTGCTCCAGGAGGATGAGGACGCGCCGAGCCCCGGGGATAGGAGGGCGACGCTGCTCCTTCGACTGGGCGCTGACGGGAAAGTCGACCTGGGAGCGACGGCCGGCCTACGCAGAGCACTCCCGGGCCCGCTCTTGGAGGAGGCTATGCGGGCCGCGCTAGGAAGAATGAGCTGCACGGCGTCAGAGTTACAGGCGCATAGCAACTCGGGCCACAGAGCCGCCATGAAGGGCTTGAGGTCCGTCACCTTGTTGCTGTGGTGGAGCAAACTCCCGGCCACCCTCGCCTTCGCCTCGGCCGCCAGAACGCTCGCATTAGCAGCCGCGCGGTCTGAGCTGTACATCACGCAACCCTTGCACTGGTAGCTCGGCGAGTCGTACGGCATGTCCACGCCCAGCTTCTCGCGCACCCGCCTGCGCACCTCGTCCCATTCCGCCGGCACAAAGCGCACGTTCGACGGCACCGAGACGTCCGGTGGAACCGACGCATCACCCACGATGAAGAACCGGACCAACTCGGCGTTGGGACCGCCCATCGACGCGAGCGCAATCGGCAGCCACGGCGGCGGGGCTCCAAAGTACGGCACCAGCACCACCAACGTGCCGTACTTGGGTGGTGGTTCGTCCACTCCCTTGTGTTCGAGCCGTGTCATGTGCCGCCTCCGCTGCTGCTGCGGTGGCTGCGGCTGCTGCCGCTGCGGTGGCGGCTGCTGCCGCTGCGGCGGCGGCTGCTTCGGCTGCCCTCCCGCCGCCCGTGTGAGAGGGCGCTCGTGGACGATGGCATGGAGCTCGTCGCGCAAGCGAGGCCATGGCAGAGTGCCGTTGGCGTTCCACGCGTCTGCGAAATTCTTTTGCATCTGCTTCCAGTTCTGCGTCTGGTTGCTGCCCGAAGCTCGTTGGCCCGAAGTGGACGGCAGCACGATGCGCCGCACGCGAAAAGTTCTCTTGACGAGCCGCATGTACTGGTCCAGCCACACCCACGGCGCCTTCTCAAACCCATGGTTGACCAGCTCGATCACTGCGCGGCCGGGGCGCATGTGCAGCGCGTTGATGCAATCGCCGCCGTGCATCGAGACAAAGACGTCCGTCTGCCGCATCTTGGCGACCACGGCGTGCAGCGACATTCCTGCGAGGGCGTGCGCCTCGCATCGCAGCGTCCAACCGCCAAGGAGCAAGCCGTCGCACGCAGCCACCACCTCGTTCAGGTTGAGGATGAACCGGCGCGCGTACCGTGCCTAGTACTAGCTGAGGAAAGTGGGAACACTGTATCGTGCAGCGTATGCAGAGTGCCAGTTTGAGTGCAGGGATCTGCCACTGTATCGTGCAGCGTATGCAGAGTGCCAGTTTTGAGTGCAGGGATCAGCATTCAGCATCTAGGGGAACCGTGCCGCGAGCAGCACACGCAGCACGCCCGGCTCGGCCGAGACGGCGCTCGTTTTGAGCTGCGGCACCTCGAAGCCGAGCGCGGCGTCGAGAGACGCCATGGCGAGCCACGCGGCACTTCCGCGCAACGAGCTGTGCGGGAGGATCTCGCACAGCCGCACGCTCTCGTAGCACGCGTCCTCGCACCGCAATGTGCGAGGCGACGTCCGCTCAAAGGTGCACACGCTGCGTATCCGCTCGAGCCCCTCCACCGCATTAGTCCTCGCCAGCGCGCCCGAGCCGGTCGGCAGCCCCGAAAAGCCGAGTCGGTGCGGCAGCCGTCCCAACGAGAGCAGGTGCCCGAGCGGCAGCATCGTGTCGCGCCAAAAGTCGCCGTAAGAAGGCTCAAAAACGGGCCAGATCATCGTGAGGCCTCCGGCCTCGCCACGCAGTATGGGTGACGGCGGCACCGCTCCGGCGCTCATGTTGTGGACGTCGCGCTGGAGGGGGCGCAACTTAAAGCTTTCGATGGGATCACGCATGAAGCGGCGCTCGGCGAGGACTTGGCGCACCTGCGATGACGCGTTCGGCCCGTACACGTCCAGCCGCCACGGTCGCTTGCGGCATCGAGCGGAGCACGCCGGCTGCGGCGTGGACAGCGTGAGGCACGCATTGTGCAGCATCGAGCACCGCCACGTGTTGGGCACGTAGGACGGCACCGGGTTCTTGTGGTGCAGCACCAATGGCTGCGTGCGATCGGCCATGGTGAGTCAGCGTGAGGCTGTGGACGAAGGAGCACAGCCGCGCTGTGAAGATTCGCCGGGCCTGGAGACAGCACCCCGAAACGATTGGCAGCGCAGCGGGCAACCTATGGCAGCGCGGGCGGGCGCTCTTACGAGAGCGCCCCACGCAGCCGCCTCAATTCATAGATCGCTTGCAACACTCTACCCTGGTAGCAACACTCTGTGTCTTAGCCGCTAGATGGTGCGGTGGCAGCTCCGTGCAGCTCCATCGGCTCACTCCGTTCGACTCGGCTCGACTCGGCTCGACTCGGCTCACAAAAAACACCCGGCCCTGGGATGGCATGGATGGTGCCAGCGGCCCACCCTACATACACCCACCCACCTCCCCGCGCGGAGCCGCTCCAACGCGACCGGTGCGCCCTGTCTGTGACCAAAAAGCACCAAACTGAGGACTCTCGCTCTCCCCAAACACCAAACTAACTGCCTCGAAAACTGCCCCTACCTGCTACTACTAGCTATTAATTAATTAACAGTAGCTGGGGATGTCAACATTCCTCGTCCGTGCCAGTCTGTTGTGAGAGGGGCTTGTATTATAAATAAATAAATAAAATAAAATAAATAAGCTATAAGGATAATTTTCAGAGAATACCCGGGTTTTGAGATTCGCGACCTCGCGCAGAGATTACAATTTCCGTCAAACCAGTTTATTTACCCAGTCTCCCACAGTTCATGTTTCAGCTTACCCGGTCGCTAACTTTTCTGAGAGGGGCTTAAAAGTTTTGGCCAAAAGGCCCCTCATGGCTGACCGCGCTGGGCATGGCCTCACTGGGGATGAGCTGGGTCGGCCTCCTCTGGGTCTGCAACTCGCACGGCGGGTCCGCGTCCGAGCAAGCATCCGCGGCTCACGGTTGTCCTCTCGCAGAGCGCGACCAACATGGTGATCCGCTACACACAGATCAGAGCTTCTGTCGACAAGGCGGACTTCCGAAACCTGGGTGAGCACCTCTGACGGTTCTCGCTCCCCATTGCACCCCATCGAGCTCTTTCTCACCTCTATCTCTAGGCTACCCAAGCATACGCACGGTACAGTACACGAGCGAGCGGCTTTCCGAAACGCAGGCGAGCGGCTTGAGGGAACTAGTCTCCCCTCTCAAGAGGGGCGCCCGTGGCATGGGCACTAAGTCGCCCTCAAACACAAACTCCACAGTGGGCCAGGGAGACTTCCACCTCTAAAAAAGACCGGGACCCCCCACCCGCGCCCGCGCACAAGATCGATGCACACAAGACATTTCGAGAGTCGCACCGTGACCTCTCAGGGGCGCTCCTGGGCCGCATCCGCCGCCATCCTGGCTGCAACTGCCCTGGCCATCGAAGCGGCCGCAGCGGCACCCCTCGCCTCTGCAGCAGCAGCCGCCTCCTCGAGCGCGGTCTCGCTCCCCTCGAGCGCCAAATCGGCCCGGCGCAGCGCCGCCCTGGCCTCCGCACGCGCCGCCCTGGCCTCCGCACGCGCCACCTCGGCAGCCGCCAGCGCCGCCACGGCCGCCTCCTCCTCCTCCTTGTCCGCCTCCGCCTCCTCCTCCGCCTCGTCCGCCTCAGCGTCCAAGCGCGCCGCCTTAGCCACCTCTGCCGACGCCGCCGCCTGGCTCTCCGCCGTGATGCCGAGCCGGATCCTCTCCTCGTGACACTTCTCGAGAAGCCTGATCATTCTCTCCTCCTCGGCCTTCTTCGCAGCCTCGGCTGTGGCTGCCTCCGACGGCGCCTCGGCACCCTCCTCCGTCTCCTGCGACGGCCCAGCCCCGCCCGCCCCTCCGCCCTTCTTCTTCTTCTTGCCCTTCTTGCCCTTGGCGCGCTTCTCCGCCTCGACCTCCGCCAGCAGCTCGTCGGCGTGCCGCGCCGCCTCCTTCTCCTCCGCCGCCCTCTGCGCCGCCCTCTCCGCCGCCCCCGCAGCCCATGCCGCCTCCTTCGCCGCCTTCTCGGCCGCCTTCTCGGCCGCCGCATGCTCCTCGAGGGCGCGCACGCACTCGGTTTGGCCCTTGTCTTTGGCAAGCTGCAGCGCGGTCCAGCCAGCCGTAGTGCGCAGCGTCATGTCTGCGCCCGCCCGCAGCAAGCGGAGAAGGGCGGCGGGGTGGCCGCAGAAAGCGGCCTGCATCAGTGCGGTGTCGCCGGCGCTGGACTGCTGGTCGATCTTCGCGCCGAGCCGGATCAGCGTGTCGACCGCCCGCTCGTGGCCTTCATCGGCGGCCATCATCAGCGCAGTGTTGCCAATCTTGCTTTGCTGGTTGACCTCCGCGCCGTGCCGCAGTGCCAGCTCAACCATCTCCTCGCGGCCGTTCGAGGCGGCGAGGCTCAGCGCGGTGCCGCCGTTGCCGTTATGCAAAGAGATGTCTGCACCGCGCCGCAGAAGCGCCTCGGCCAGCTCCGCGTGGCCGTAGCCCATTGCGACCATCAGCAGCGTCACGCCGCTCATAGGGCCGTCATCAAAGACGAACTCGAACGCCGCGTCGATCCGCCCGCCGCCGTCGAGCCACGCCAGCACCGCCGCCTCCTCGCCTCGCTCAGCCGCTAGCACGACCTCCTCTGGCACCGCCTCGCTGCCCGGCGCGGTCTCTGCGCCGCCCTCGCCGCTCAAAGCAGAGGCCGCAGCACTGGCGCCCGCCTCCGCCTCGCCTGCGGGCGCCTCTCCCGCCCCTGCGCCGTCCACCTCGGCCGACGGCGCCTCGCGCCGGCCCGCCACCTCCCCGAGATACGCCCTGAAGGCCTCGACGCACTCGGCGTGGCCCTCCTCCTTGGCCATCTGCAGCGCCGTCTTGCCGCCGCTAGAGCGCAGCTTCATGTCTGCGCCCGCCCGCAGCAAGCGGAGCACCACGGCGGGGCAGCCGTTGACGGCGGCGAGCATCAGTGCGGTGCCGCCCTTGCTGGTCTGCAGGTTGATCTCTGCGCCGTGCCGGATCAGCGTGTCGACCACCCGCTCGTGGCCTTTGTAGGCGGCATCCATCAGCGCAGTGTTGCCAATCTTGCTTTGCTGGTTGACCTCCGCGCCGTGCCGCAATGCCAGCTCGACCAGGTTCTCGTGGCCATTCCCGGCGGCGAGAATCAGCGCGGTGCCACCGTTGCTCTTCTGCAACGAGACGTCTGCGCCGCGCCGCAGAAGCGCCTCGGCCAGCTCCTCGTGGCCATTGGCCATCACGACCATCAGCAGCGTCATGCCGCTCATGCAAGAGCCGTCCGAAAAGGTGTACTCGAACCTCTCGTCGATCCGCCCGCCGCCGTCGAGCCACACCAGCACCGCTCCCGCTTGGCCATCCTTGGCGGCCTTCCGAATGCTCGCGGGGACGTCGCCGACGCCCTCGGGAGGCGGCGGAGGCGGCGTGCGGCGGACCATGTACATGCTGCCTCGGCGAAAAAGAAAAACCACCGCCGAGCCTACCTGGTGATCCTGTGGCATGGGCACTAAGTCGCCCTCAAACTCCTCTCGCCGAAGAGTGGGACGCTCTATCTCGATCGCACTAGTACGAGTAGTCGTCGCCGTCATCGTCGTCTCGATCGTAGTCGTCTCCGTCGTCGTCTCGATCGCGCCGACCGTGCCGGTGGCGGTCGTCGTAACGGCCGTGACGGTAGCCATCGTACCGACCGTGGTGGCGGTCGTACGAGGGCGGCGGGGAGGGCGAGGGCGGCGGCGGAGGGGGCAAGGGTGAGGGCAGTGCGACCCCGGGTGTGCCAAAACGCCTCGCAATCGTCCGGCGTGTTGTAGTAGCCACGCGCCGGCTTCGCGTCCTTCGGCACGCACCTGTGGGAAGGACACGCGGGTCATGAATGCGTTAACGGCAAGCGTGTCGGCGGCTTGCACTTTTTGCTGGCGCACCGGCCGCGCTCGCTGTCATACTTGTAGCAGCGGGTAGTGGCCGGTCACCGACATCCAATTGCTTTGTGCGGCGATCCCGGCGGTGCACTGGGCCATGGTGCCGTAGCACACGCCTACAAGAACAGCAC